GAGTGATTGTAAGTTACATTTAATAATCTCAAACAAGTGTGAACTTTATTTAATGATTTTAAACAAGTTGGAGGTTAAATGTATAGTTTTGAAATGATGTTTTGATGAGATATTAATAAAGATGTCGAGTGAGTCTCCCTTGGCGAGGGGCGAGCTTGTTCCTTTTGGTGAGGAGTCACGATGTTGACCCTTGCTTGTGATGACGTAGTAGTCAGAAATGTATTGACTAGACGATCAAGGGAATTAACTTTGTTAATTGAGTAAATAGGTAGAACACCGCATGCATCAAAGAACAAAGTTAGTTCTCATGCAACTTCTTAAAGCCAAGAACAAGTCTTAATGCAGAATTTTCAAGAGATAAACTCTCTCCAAACCTAGATTCAAGATAGAAGTCCAATTTCTTCGAAAGTTCAAGAAATTGAACCTCAAAGATTTTCTTCATCTATAAATAGGTTGAATTAGAAGGGGGGAAAAAAAAGCATGGACTTGACGTGATAGCCCAGTCCTTAGTCTTGGGTTTTCTTTAAGTTGTTTAGATTTGAAAATTTCTTTCTATTTCGGTTTATGCATTTAAATTCCAATTTTATAATTTTTCTAGTTTCAGTATTATGATGTTTCATACATCAGTTTTCTTCTTTAAATTTCTGGTTTTTAGTTTTTAGTAATTTTTTGTTTAGGGTTTTAGGTTTCAGTTTTTACAGCATGTTAGTTTAAGTAAAATTTTCAGTTGTTAAGTTACTTCATTGTTTTAGTTTCTGTTTTTCTGTTTAAATTTCAGTTTACTGCATAGTTTATTTTAGTTCTGGTTCTGTTTAATTTTCAATTTTACATTCTTTAGTATTTCCACTTTATGGTTTAATTTTTGCATTAGTTTTAATTTCGGATTCTGCATAACAGTTTTGCATTCTGTTTTGTTTTTAGTTACTTAGGTATTTAATTCAATTCAGCATTTATAGTTTGGTTTCTGCATTCTGTTTTAGTTTTTGCATGAACTAAATAGCTAGTTAGTAGCAAAATGTTTAAGAGTTCCATATCCTTGCAACAGTAAAATCAATTTACCAATAAGAAAGAAAGATTAAAAGCATCTTAGTCTCTGTAGGTTAAGTTCAGGTGATGTTTCATCGGACTTTCCAGGGCTCATCCAATTAGTTTATCAGCTTTTTTTGCTTTTTTTCTTGTTGTTTTACTTGCTTTCGCTCAACCATCGAGGTCTTACCTTAATATTTTAAGTATATGTTTTCTATTAAAAATATATTCAAAATATTAAAATAATGTGATTAAGTAAAAGACTTAATCAAAGCAAAATCATGCAAAGCTATCTCAAAAACGTTAAGGTAAAAGCTCCATAATTAAGTATGGTAATTCTAAGCTTAAAGAATCAAAGTAAGAAAACTTGCAGGGGCAGTTGACTGTCATGTATTAGCCATGAGGGACGGTTGACTGTCAATGTCAAACCAATCAACTGCCTTGATTCCAGAAAGGTACTAAAGTTTCGGTACAATTTTGAGCTAAAATAACAAAAGAGTAGTTGGTTCCTAACCTTAGGGCAGTCGACTATTATGGCTGAAAATTGAGCCAATCGATTGCTTAACCTGGAGACAATTGCTATGGCTAAGGAAAGTCTTCTTTATAAGGAAAATGACCAATATAGTCTCGACTGCTTGGAGAAGGAATTGACTATCTTAAAGCTGAAAGCATTTTGGAATTTATGGGAAGTCGATTGTCTTATGTCATGCAACGTTCTGGAAATTTAAATTACAAATGGGTAATCGACTATGATGTTGGTGGAGTCAACTCCTTTAATTGAAGTTTTGCAATTTTCAAAAATTTAAAAAATAATTTCTCTTGAAATGAAAATTTTGATCATTTGAACAAGCAACAAATTCATCTTTAATTATTAAGAAAGGTGATTTTTTATTAAAGAAAGTAATCTTTAATTGAAATAATACAATCAAAGAGTTATAATCATAAGATTTAATTTTTTATAAATAAAGATATTGTGGGTTCATTTGTGGTATCTTAAAAACTAAAAAACATTCTTTTTTTTCTCCATTGTTTCTCATATAGAAGGTTAATATATTTGGCATTATTTGAGGCAGTTAAATATAAGATATTTTTGTCTCTCATCAAAGGGCTTTTGTAATGGTTTGAATTTACTATTACAAGTTGATTAAAAAAAGCTTCATCGAGTCTTGTAGGTATTTCGATTCACTTCTTTTATGTATCATAACTGGTCAAAGCAAAATAAGTTTTAAGGATAGTGGCAATTACAACATGCCTTGAAGCCATTTTTGTTTGTCATTGAAAATTCCATTTTGTTCAACATCAAGTGCAAAAGGGAAGGCTGCGGGAAGATCTTAAGTTAATCTACAAAATACATATTTTTTTTATTTTGTTAAGCCTTGTATTACTAACATTTTCTGTATTTAGGATTGATAAAGGACGGCACTGAAGTCATCTTATATCCATTGTGTCATCCCCTCAATTCAGTTCTGGTGCTGCTGAAATGACTCAAATTTTCCACCTATGAAAACAATTTCTCCATGGAAAGTTCCCATACCGTGGATCCTTTTATAGTGGTAAAAGCACGGTTCTCTAACAAGGGGAAATTAGTTGTAATTCTATGCCAATGGAGGCCCAATTCACTCGTAACTTTTTTGGCGGAGCCTGATTCAAAGGCCACAATGCATCCCCTAAGATGAGGCTTGCTTTTGCTCTCAAGCCTTGCCCAGGAAGAGCCGTCTAATCTCATTTAGCAGTTTGAATTCCATATTTTAAATTTTGCTACATTTTTTCCCCATCCCATTATTCACCCAGATTATTGGATTGAAAATATTTTTTAAAAATAACATCAATTTATGAGTTGATGAATGCTTTTACCAAAACATTGGTAGGGAAATTCAACTCGATTTTGAAGAATTTTATAACGATAAAACCAGAGCACTTTTTCTTGCTGAATTTTCATAATGTTAATGTTGTGTGCCAGTGTTATTTTCCCTAATTTCTGTAATGAATTTCCTGGATCTGTAGCTTCTTAATTCAACAATGCATTAGTCTCTCAAATTTAGGGACAATTTCAGTTTGGGTTTGAAGTTTCTTATTAAATCACTGTCTTAAATCGAAGAACATATAATTTACAATCATTATAATATAATTAATCAATTATAATTTAAAATTATATAAAATTTATAAAAATTTTATATAAAATTCACATTTAGAAATGGTGGAAACTTACAAAATTTTTTAATATAATTGAACAATTACACTACTATAATAAAAAAAAATTGTAAATTAAATGCACCCCTTAAACTGTTATAGTTTAATTTCTAATCTCAATCTATTTGTAAAGTACAGTGAATACTAATCATAGAAAGCAATAGGAAGGTTGAAAAAGAGAAGGCACAGAAGGAAGCCTGAAATTTGGCTTGAATTTTTTTTTTTTTTATAGTTTTTTTTACTCTAACTTTGACACTCAAAGTAAAATATATGTCGTACCGGTACAAGTATTGAAGTGTTTAAAAAAGTGGGACAAGGATACATATCTGAAGAGTTCGTATAACATGAAATAGGAAAACTAGTTAAACCAGCAGTCACTTCACAACTTATATGCACTGATCAGAAAGCTATTTAACCTTTGAAAATCAACATAGATTTGGCTATTTTAGAAAAAGAAGATTGATTGGTAGGATTTATTTTTGTTTTATATAAACGTTCCCGTTTGATCAGCAGGTTATGAGATATTCCTCCTTTTATAAGAAAACTAAGTGGATGTTTAGATCATTTAGTGCAAATAAAGTGTAGTGCCCTGTGATTGGTTATAGAGGAAATCAATCTTCAGCTAATTCTGTGAGTTCTAATATAAACAATAAAAGGGGCAGCTATTTCTTGGATCACTATAAAAATCAATTCCCCAGCGGGATTTCCTACTGATTAATTAGCATGTTTCCAGGGTCAATGGTATTTTCTTCAAATTCAAGTATGTGATGAGTCGGTGAGTAGAACCAAAACAAGGGTCCAAGTAATGCCATGTTCTTGCAATTGCAAATGTACCTACTTACGAAAAGTTGACCAAACGATTTTGGCTAGATACAGGCCCAAACTTAGAAAAAGTGTAGCCAACGTTAGGCTTAAATCCACCTTCCCCGCGGCTAATATTTTGTGCATTTGATTTCCTAATTTGATTATACAATTGCACCTAATTAGCCTAAAGATTGGGCAAGGAAAATTTGGCGAATAGACTAAAAACTCCTCTAGATTTTGAGAAATTGAGCACGGTTTTTCACATAGTCTTCTTTCAAGGTCTCTAGTGGGTTGTTTAGAGATTCATATTTGAACCTTTTTGAGTCTTCAATTCTCTTCACAGCTGTTCAAATTTCTACTACTTGTATATTTTTTTTCCTAACTTCCGAAAATGACGAAAATATTTCCCATATGATCTGTTTAGAATAAGGAGTTATATGTCCCTAATCAAATTAAACCTTAAATAATTCGATTTTTGGAATATTAATTAGTTAGCTATTTCAAATTGTTACAATTTGGTTTCCATTTATATATGGATCCTATATGTTAATAGAGAATGTTAAAAAGATTCTGGAAAAGCATCAATCTAAATATTACGAATTAATGTGAGATATTTAATTTTATTTTAAATTACAAGCCTTATCGTTAATTTTGTCTTTTCACTTTGGAATTAGAATCATTATTTTGCACAATATCTTTTTCTAACATTCTGCCTATCGGTTTTTTAATAATCCTTATCACACCAAGGACACAAGGGTATATTCATGCTTTTCATGTCTTTCTCCTTAATATACTTGAAGCTTTTTCCTCCATCACGTTCCTTGCAAGATGAAAAGTCAAGGTGGTAGTCCAAATAGCACGAAAGTTACAACTTACGACTAGTGAGTGGATGCGTCGCATCCAGGGAAGTTTTGGAATTTAATAATATCAATATTTTGACTCAAAAAATGCTTCTCATTCAATTCCGCACCCTTCTTTCATAAAATATCTACAAAGGGCAACAACTCAAACATATCAAATTAACAATGAAGCCTTCAACAAGATCATTAGAAGGAAAACGATTCATTCTCTCGGCTCTCGCGTTCATCTTGTTCCTCTGTGCATTAGCTTCCATCAATGAAATTAGATTCGACAGCTTATTGAAGTTTGGTAGATGTGCTCTTTCCAATCTCCCTTCTCAATCCCACAACGCATCTTCAGAAATTTCCGCTGCATCAAATTCTTCTTCATCCGATGACATACGAATTCTAATCGGAATCCTAACACTTCCTGATCAATACCAACGGCGCCATTTCCTTCGTCTCATATATGGCACGCAGTCTCCCGCTGGCGCACAAGTTGATGTCAAGTTCGTTTTTTGCAACCTAACAAAGGAAGACCAGAAGGTGTTGGTTGCACTTGAGATAATGCGATATGATGATATTATCATCCTCAACTGCAAAGAGAACATGAACAAGGGCAAGACTTACACTTTCTTTTCGAGCTTACCGGAGATATTTAACTCCACGGATAGGCCTTACCCACCTTACCATTACGTGATGAAAGGAGACGATGATACATATTTGAGGTTGGAAAACTTGGTGGACTCTTTAAGGCCATTGCCTAGAGAAGACTTGTATTACGGCTACGTTATTCCATGCCCCAGCATGGACCCTTTTGTTCATTACATGTCTGGCATGGGATACTTGGTTTCTTGGGATATTGCTGAATGGATTAGAGAATCGGAAATTCCTAGAAATAATTTGGAAGGCCCCGAAGATAAGGTTTTTGGAGATTGGATGCGAGATGGGCACCGGGCGAAAAACAGATACAATGCCAAATGGTCTATGTACAATTTTCCTGAGCCGCCCACAAGGTGCACGCATGAGCTGTGGCCAGACACGATCGCTGTGCATTTGTTGAAGAATCAGGACAAGTGGATTCACACCTTGAAGTATTTCAATGTTACCAGTAATTTGAAACCATCTAAATTATATCATATTCCATAATTGGCTGCGTAACTCTATAGTTTTTTTTTTAATTCTTTTGATTTGATTTGTCAGATTTTAAGCCCAAGCATAAAAATTGATTTGATTCGTTCATTCTTCCGGTTTTATTAAGGTAAAATTTTCAATTGTAACGATGAGGCTGAAGTAAGAAGTTTAAATATTGGATATCGTTGTAATATAAGTGTATATATACTATCCTTTTTTATATAAATATTTTTTCTTTTGTGAAATCAAGTTTTGTTTTCATTTATTAATAACTCAGGTTTGCATCAGATTCAATAATGTCTTGCATGAAAGCAGGATAGTCCTCTAGCCAGTACAATCCCTCATCTATCCTAAGTCCATACACTGCCAATCTGTGAGCAGCTTCATTACCAGACCTTCTGGTATGTTGTGCTTTGCATCCTTTCAGTTCAGCCATATTCTGTCTTGCCTCTTCAACTATCAATCCTATAAGTGACATGCCCTGGTTCAAGGATCGAAGTTTCTTTATAATCGTCACTGCGTCTCCTTCCAGCACAAATTCATTTATCCCCATCTCCTTTGCGAAATCCAAAGCACGAACCACAGCCAGAGCTTACACTGAAAAGGTCAGTCATCCACGGCAATCTTGTTGGGATATAGATCACATGTGAGTAAAAAATTTCATATTATTAGAAAATCTGAATGAGATATCCTGTTTATGCATGAAGGACTCAAGAATCTAATAGCTTAAGCTTTTAGGCTCAAATGGTGTCTAACATGTATGTATAGGCTCTCTGGTATGCTTGCATGGGTTCCAAGTATGGTTTATCTCCCTAACAAGTAGTATCAGAGCCAAGATTATGAGTTCGAGTCCTAGTGGTATTGCTGGGGGCAAGATTATTGGCAGATCAGAGGTTGGTTATGTCCATCAACTCTATGTGCTCGAACGCTGGTATTTAAAAGGTTCGATTTGGATGCAGCAAGTATATGATAATATGTAGAAGCAAAACATCCAAATAAGTGATGTGTTGAGTCAACCTGGGGTGTAAACTTGAGGGAGCACTAAGACAACCTAGGTGGCAAGGTTGAATATTGTGGCCTAGCCCAAAAAATGCACTAAAGATGTGAGGTTTCTTGATTCAAATGAGGTATTGATAAGACTTACTCGCACGGAAAAAATTGTTGGAATATGATTCATATGTGAGAAAAGAATCTCATATTATTAGAAAATCTGAATGAGATATCCTATATATGCATGAAGGACACAAAAACATAATAGCTAAGCTTTTGGGCTCAAGTTGCGTCTAACATATATGTATGGACTCTTTGGTGTACTCTCATAGACTCTAAATGTGGTTTATCTCCCTAACAAATCTATCATTGTGGGCTCCCAACATTTTGCCTTTCTTGTCTCTAATGATCACCCCAATACCTCTTTTTTCTTTACCTTCTTCTCAGCTCCATCAAAATTCACCTTGATAGTTCCTCTGTCGGGATGTTTCCAGTGCCCTATTCCTATTTCATCATTTTTGGCTTGTTTTTACTATGTCATGTTAAATTCCTCCGTGTATTTCTTAACAAAGACAGCTGCAATTTCTGGTTCTCTCCTCTTTTCTCCATAACAATCATGGTTCCTTTCATTCCAAACTATTCACAATCCAATCATGAACATTTGCAATTTTTTGGTTGTAATATGTTCGATTACCTCAGAGAGCCAGTGCATGGGTTCCTACTGCCTTCCTCATTCCACCAAAAATTTAACTTTTCCTAGATTTTAACCATATGTGGAATTGTTTCTGCATTTTGTCCACACCTCTGGTACGTGATCTCTGTAGATACCCTAATTAGTCCGAGTTCAAAGGCCCAAACCCATTGGGCATAGCCCAACAGGTTTTGAGCCTAAGCCATTGGGCTTGGTCTAAATGGGGCAAATTGGCCTATTTTATTTTTATTTTATTTTATTTATTTATTTTTATGTGTTCTGAATTTTACTTTAATTATTATTTTTATTTCTAGAAGAAAATGACAAAACAAAGAGGAAAAAAATTTGCTGTGAAATCTAGGGTTGGTAGGGTTTGAATTGGATTCAAATATTGAATCCCAATCACAGAAAGAATTTGAGATTAATCAGAAACTCTTCTGATCAAATGCCTATAAATATAGGTTGGATCACAAAAAGAAAAGACACGAAGATAAAAACATAGAAACACAGAACACAGCAAGCAGAAAAAAAGAAAAAAATTTTGAATTTTTTTTGGAAAATTTTTCTAGAAAATTTCTAAATTCCGACAAAATTTTTCAGTGCTTGTTAAAATTTTTGGTGAGGTTTTCGACGCCGATTGAATTTTTCGACATGATTCCCAGAATCCAGTGAAGTTTTCGATGAATGTTGAATTTCCCAGCGACTGTCCGGTGACCCAACCTAGATTCTGATGGTATTCCCTAAAAATCGATTAAAGTTCAACTGAAGTTCATCCGATTTCTAGAGAGAGGGGAAAAAAAGAAAGGGATGAAAGAGAAGTGGAATGAGAGATCCGAAGCAGAAGGCTAAAACTTAGGCTTTTATAGCCTCCCTAAAGCGACGTCGTTTTGGCATTTAAATCAACCCATGATGCACGTGTTTCCATTAGGGCAATCCGACCCGAGCGCTAACCCGTTTGATCGACCCGCATTCTAACCAGCCCTTCAGTTGAGCCAAGTTGAGCCGCATCCCCGAGCCGCACCTTCCAGCCATCGTTTATGCCAACAGCCAAGTCGATTTAGCAGCCAACCGAGTCATTTTTTTTCTTTGGTATTTTTTTATTTTATTTAGTATTTTTTTTCTTTTTCTTTCATGATTAAATTTAGAAAAAAAATATAATATAAAATAAAATATTTTGATAATAAATATTAATTATCCAATGATAGAATTTATAGAAATTTCAAATAGTAAATTTCTATAAAAGTTTTAGGTGAGAAATTTTTGTCTGAATTTTTCCTAAATGGTGGAATAATTTAGATAATGTTTCAATAACAATAATTAATATTTATTTTCAAACCAAAAAAAATAAAAAATATAAAAAACATAAAAATATAAAAATTTTTGGAATTAAATACAAATTACCCAATGATGAGATTTTTAGAAATTTTAAATGGTAAATTTTTTAAGAAATCTCTAGGTGAGAAATTTTCTCTAAATTTTGCCCAAATGGTGGAATGATTTAGACAAAATTTCAATACAAGTAATTACCCAAATAAAAAATTTTGGTTGAAAATATGTGATAATTACCTAAGAATGAGATTCTTAGGAATTTCAAATAGTAAATTCCTAAGAAATCTCTAGATGAGAAAGTTTCTCTAAATTTGGCCTAAATGGTAGAATAATTTAGATGAAATTTTAATAAAAATAATTGTCATATTATTTTCTTTTCAAGAAAAAAAAGAAGAATTTTTAAATAGGCCCAAATTGTGAAAAAATTTAGAAATTCAAAACAAGAAAATATTTCTAATTTGACCCAAATGGTGAAATAATTAGATATATTTTCAACAAAAAAATAAAAATAACAAAAAAATTTTCGATGACAAAATCTCTTCAAGATATCAAATGGGATTCTTGAATACTCTTGAAGTGAGAAAATATTTTTTTCAGAGTTCTACCATATTGATGGAGAATCTTAAAAATTATTTCCAATATTTAACATAAAATTTAAAACCATTAAGCTCAATACCTTAGGATAAATTTGAAATAATATGGTACCATCCTTCGGATGGGCATGTAGGGGTGCTATAACCTTCTCCACATGTAACCGAACTCTTAAATCATGTTCTGGTTAATAGACATGAATCTATTCTTTTAGAGACCCTTAGTCAAACTTAAGAGTTCCTTAAAAGGATAGATTCCTTAGGTGGTCAATCACACTTAGATAAAAAAGATTGGTGGCAACCCCATTCATTTGTTAAATCTAGCTATAGATTTATAGATTTATATGTTATGATAGATTGGTGATTCCACTGGGGAAGTTAGAAAGTCAGGCCATAATTTTTGAATTTATCCTATCCTTTAGTCTAATGGTTTTAAATTATAATGATTTATGTTATTTGTTTACTAACGTCTTTGTCTTTTTTGGTCTTTTACTTTTGGAGCATGAAACCCATATATTCCTTCACACACACTATCATATACATTTACATTATATAAGCTCTATACCCAAGCTCTATCCCTCTTAGGAGAGAGTAAAGTATCCACACTTTCGTGAGATGATAATCTTCGCAATGGCTAGTGAAATACTTCCACTCAAATTGAATCATTTTTGTTGGTAGCCTGTGACGGGTAAGGATTGGACTACCTTACTAGTTTGTGATGGATGATGATGTAAGGAACAATTTGGGAACCTTTAGTGGACAAAACCACCCAACCCTGCATATAGTTCATCCTTAAGAGGCCAACCTTATAATAGAGTCATTCCTACCCAGTGATAGATGTAACTCGAAGTTAGGACACAAGAAAGAATAGTTTGTGATCTAACCATTTTTTTTTGTTTAATTTTTTGCACTTGCATCATTATCATTTCATTCTATGCATCATTTTCATATTCATTACATGCATTATTATCATTTCATTCTATGCATCATATTCATTATGTGCATCATTATCATTTCATTATATGCATCATTTATGTCATTTTCATATAGAGAATATTTGCCACATTTCTTACCTACATCCATGAAAATATACATTCCATTTATGCATCAACATAGCATGCATAAAGCATAACATTTTTTATCATAATTATGGTATGAAAGGTTCAAGGATAGCTCCACCAAGCAAAAACCCAACTCACTAATACAACACAAGGGCTCGAGCTAGACAAATGGAACAAAAAAATTTCAATCATCTCGAGAGGATAGAGAAAGCCCAAAAAAAGCTAGAAGGAGAGTTGAATAAAATTTTGAAGGCTTTGAACAAGCTGAACAAAGGAAAAGGAATAGAAAAAAAATACTAGCCAACAAGACCATCCATTACAAGAAGCGGATGACCTATTGTACCCTATTAGTTTTAAGCCACATCTAGCCTAACCCGTATAAGGTCCACCACCTCAGCAGTTCACATATCTTGTAAGGTACACATACTTTGGAATATCATCAATTTTAAATCCATCACAGTACCAGAGCTACATAAATCCTATCTTTACTGAAAAAATAGTATAACCAATATCAATCCCTAATTTGGATTATCCAGAAGAGAAAAAAAAGCTAAAGCCAAGGGAGAATAAGGTTTTAGAAGGCTCAAAAGCTAAACAAAAAATAAACTTATTAGAGGAAAGGTTGGCCATAAAAGGTATTGGTTTTTATGGTTCAGTGGATGCTACTAGATTTTGTTTAGTCCTAGATGTGGTTATTCTTATAAAATTCAAGGTGCCAGAGTTTGAAAAATATGATGAAACAAAGTGTCCAAAGACCCACATTTTCATGTTTTGTCGAAAAATGGTAGCCTATGCTAATAATGAGAAACTGTTGATGCATATATTCCAAAATAGCCTTATTGGCTCTGCTGCTAGATGGTATGTCCAGCTGAATAAA